TTGACAGAGAGACACAGCGAGAGAGGGAACACAAGCAGGGGGAGTGGGAGAGGGAGAAGCAGGCTTCCCGTGGAGCAGGGAACCCGATGCGGGGCTCCATCCCAGGACCCTGGGATCATGACCTGAGCGGAAGGCAGACGCTTAACGACTGAGCCACCCAGGCGCCCCATAATTTTATTTTTAAATATGTTTAAATCCTCACAATATGTTCTCATGTTTTTGCATTAACTAGTCAATTATCTTTTCAAAAATAAAATAAAATAAAAGATAAATCTTTTATATTTTATCAACATATTTACTATTTTTAGCAATTATCATTGCTCTGTATAGATTTGAAGTTATTATCTGGTATCGTGTTTTCCATTCCTTTGACATTTCTTGTGTGAAATCTATTGACAATAAATTCTTTCAGCTTCTGTTAGTCTGAAAAAGTCTTTCACCTTCGAGAAATTTTTCCCTTTATAGGGCTTTAAGGTATCATTCCATTGATTTCTGGCTTGTGTTGTTTTACTTGAGAAGTCTGTGAAATTTCTTATCTTTATTTTTCTGAATATGATATGTCTTTTTCCTCCAGTGGCTTTTTTTAAGATAAGATTTATTTATTTATTTTAGAGAGAGAGCACATGCGTGCGTGAGTGGGAGAAGGGAGAGAATCCTCAGGCAGACTCCCTGCTGAGTGCAAAGCCTGATGTGGGGCTGGATCCTAGGACCCTGTGATCATGACCTGAGCAAAAATCAAGAGTCAGACCCTCAAATGACTGAGCCACCCAAGTGCCCCCCTCCAGTGGCTTTTAAGAGTTACAGGTTTTCAGCGTTTGATCGTATTATGCCTTGATGTGGTTTTATTTATGTATATTCCATTTGTTTCATTTCTTGGATCTGTAGGTTTATAGTTTTAATGAAGTTTTGGAATAACTTTGCCATTATTTCTTCTAATACTTTTTCTACATGCCTCCCTCTTTGCTCCTTTAGGGCTCCAATACACATAGGTTAGTCTGCTTGACATTTTCTCACAGTTCATTGAGATTCTGTTGATTTTTAAAATCTTTTTCTTTCTCTGATTCATTCTGGATGATTTATATTGCTATATATTCAATTTTTAAATTTTTCTTCTGCAGTGTCTAATTTGATATTATTTCCACCCAGTGACTTTTAAGTTTCAGGCAATGTCTTTAATTTTTAAATGTTCGGTTTGGTTCTTTTATTATTATTTTATTTTTTAAAGATTTTATTTATTTGAGAGAGAGAGAGCTCGAGTGGGGGGAGGGGCAGAGGGAGAGGGAGAAGCAGACTCCCCACTGAGCAGAGTGCGCAGTGTAAGCTCAATCTTAGGACCCCGAGATCATGACCTGAGCTGAAGGCAGCTGCATAACCAACTGAGCCACCCAGGTGCCCCCTGTTTGGTTCTTTTTAATATCTTTTTTATTTTCACTCATTATTTTCATTTAACTTCTTGAACTTACTTTAATTTAGTGATTTATATTTCTGTCATTTCAAATTTGTTTTTATTTAATTGGTTTCCTCTTGGTTAAAGATTTTTTTACTTCTTGGAAAGTCTAGTAATTTTTGATTAGATGTTGAATATTATAATGTTAGATATTGTTGAATGTTTGGATTTTGGTATATTCCTTTAAAAATTGTAGAATTTTGTTTTTGCAGGTATTTAAGTTACTTGTAGATTGGCTTCAGGTTTTTGTTTTTTTTTAATGCTTGTTTTTAAGTGTTGTTGGGGTGGATGTAAAGTAGCCTTTATTTGAAGGCTACTTTAGCATCACTATTTAGGTGATAAACTTCTTAGGTCTCTACTGAATGCTTGTTGTAGTCAGTAAGTCCTCTCTGGTCAGAACTTGAATAACTCCCTATTCTGAGTGAGCTCTGAAAATTGTTTAACCCACAGCTTGTGGTATGTAGAATAATAAAATGACTTTCAGTGATATTCATCATTGTATAATCTCCTCCCATGGGGTTTTGGTAGATCCTGTGAATACAACCACTCTGTAATTACATTACTTTATGTGGCAAAAGGAGAATTATTCAAGGTGGGCCTGACCTTATGAGGTGAGCCATTTAATTAAAAAAAGAGATTTACTTGGCTGATTGCAGAGGGAAAAGTTCAATATATGAAAAAGCTGACTTACATATTTAGTCCAAATGTCTAGTTGTTTATAGTGGGAAGGAAACTCTGGTAGTAGTTACTTGATCATGAAATTTTAAAATTCACTTAATTTGGAGCTCACTAAAACCGGCTAGCCCAACCTTAAAATAGAGGAAACTGAGTTAGAAGGAAAACAACTGAAAGAGATTAGCCAACTACATCCCCAAAATATGAAAACCATTCTTTTTACCTTTTATTTTTAAGTTATTTGGCAATATTTCATAATAATGAAGTACATAGAAAATAATACAATAAACTTCTATATACCTAAATTATCAACTTAAGAAATAAAATATTATTGATACAGTTGAGGCCCTTGTGTCCTTCCTCCAGTCTTATCCTCCTTTTTTAAAAAAATATTTATTCATGAGAGAGAGAGCACACAAGCAGGGGTGGGCAGAGGGAGAGGGAGAAACAGGCAGAGCCAACAAGGGGGCAGGGCTTGATCCCAGGACCCTGGGATCCCTACCGGCTCAGAAGGCCAACGCTTAAACGACTAAGCCACCCAGGCGCCACAAGTCTTATCTCTTTGTAGAGGTACCTGAATTCAGTGCTATTAATTCCATGCATTTCTTCGTATTTTACTTTATATACGTGCATCCTTAAAATAATCTTTACATTTTTTTTGAAATCTATTTTAATGCTATCAAAATGTAGCATTTTGGGGGGTTCCTTTTTTTGTTTAATGTTTTGTTGTGAGAATGAAAAATTGATATGTACTTAGAGTTCCATTGTATAGCACAGTTTATTTATCCAGTCAATAATTGAGACATATAGGCTGATTTTTTGAAGCAATGAATGCAGAAATTAACTTTTGTGTGCATGTGACAAGAACACATGTATGAGAGTTTCAGCAAGGGAATACCTCTGTAATGAAGTCACTAGATAATAGAGTATATGCATCTTTAAGTCACTATATATTGCCAAGTATTCTTCAAAGGGGTTGTCCCAATTTGCATTCCCACCATAGGGTTTCCAGTTGTTCTACATCCTTATGACCAGTGGTATTGTCAGAGTTAAATTATAGATAATTATATGGGTGAGAAATGTTATCTCATTGTCATCTACATTTGCATTTCCCTGCTAATTGATCATGTAGGACACCTTTTAATATGTTCACTGGCCAAATTGGCATGGAGATTATTATTCCCCAGCCTGGTTACTCCCAATTTCTCAAAAACCCCTTAAGGTTGACATAAAGATCAAACATCTAAAGTGATAAGATATGGTATGGAAAGTTTTCCTAAGTGTGAAATTATTCCCTGAGTCATTGAAATTAATTCTGGTCATCACACCATGATTCTTGCCAAGCCTTCAGTTGGACCATGCTCAGTTATGGCAGACTCAGCTTCTCCCACTCTGGTTTTTCTGGTTGTAGAAAGAATAACAAATAAACCTTAAGTCATTGAAGCTAAAAGACAGGCTAAGTTATAAGAAGGAATAGAACATCATTCTAGATAAGATTGGCTAATAATGGCAGGATTTGGTGAGCCTGGAAGACCACAGTGATTGGATTATATGTAAAAATATTTCAGGATTTGTTTGTTTGACTAAGGCCAACAATGGCATCTCCGTTATTCAGAATTTTCAAAATGGTTTAGATAAGAATTTGAACAGAATGATTGGCAATCTGAGTGTGCCAGTGCTATGCTAAAGGATGGAAACACAAGATTTTGAGGGTCCTTCTTCCCTTTGTTCTGTGCCTCAGGGAGGAACTCATCCACTCAATCACAGGTTCAATCACAGGTTCCTTCCATTGCCAACATGGATATTTACACAAAACTTTTTTTTTTTGTTTTCTAAAGAGGTAATGAGTAAAATTGTTTCTTTTATAAATATACCATCAATAAATGATTTCTGGTAGAAGAAACCAGAAAAATTACCCTGAATCTATTCTTGGTGCTAAATGGATGTCACTTTGAGCCCAGGGAATATACTTTCTGCCCTTTCCATAATTTGAATTTTCATTTGCTAAACTATATGACAGTATGCTTCCTGCCTCTACTCACAGCTCTGGATCATCAATACCTTTGCCCCCACTTTAGGAATTTCACAGATTACTCAGTTGTAGTGTTTCAGTGTCCTCCCCCATGATAGTCCAAGTTACACGTAGCTGATGTAAGTAATTTAATTTGTAATTGATTTGGGAATGTACAACTGAAAGCTTTTTTGGGAATATGGTGTGGGTTATCTCTCTTTATACTATTTGGGGAAGATTTTTATTTCATAGAAACAGAAAACCTGAGAAGGAAATCATATCGTTTAGGTTTGACAGCAGAAAATCGCTCTGTACCAGTTTTGATTATTGCATTCAGTTGATTTCTTTATGACTCAAGGACTAGAAGCTTTCTACTACCTTTGGCGAGAAAATTTCTGAATCTAGGAGATTAAATCATAGGAAGAGTTCTTCACATCAGACAAAATGTCTCAATTATTATTCAGGCTACCTTGATTCTTTTCTTTGACCTTCTTCGGTGTTTGTTAAACCCCACTAGTCAATATAACTAGATTACAGATACGATATTTTCAAAATAATGGACATGTCGTTAGGGTATTTGATACTGCTTTCTATCGGGCCTATTTAGACATGTATGTACATGCTTACTTTGCATTTGGTCCTGAGGTGAGCAAAAATGGAAGCAGTGTTTTTAGGATGAATTTTCTCACCTATGATAGCAATTTGTAAATATCTTACTCTTTTCTTATTTGTAGGGCCAGCTTTTTAAATATGCTTCTGATCTTCTCTTATCATATGTCATGTTGCAAAGTTGTTGCTCGCTTGCTGTCCTACAGCTGTGGCCTCTTTAGATCTTCCGAGCTAACGCCAGCTGTTGTCTCCCTCCAGGTCATCCAGGCTGTCTTTTTTGGCATTTGCGTGCTGACTGATCTTTCCAGTCTCCTGACTAGAGGAAGTGGGAACCAAGAACAAGAAAGGCAGCTCAAGAAGCTCATCTCGCTCCGGGACTGGATGTTAGCTGTCCTGGCCTTTCCTGTTGGGGTTGTGAGTATGATTTAGAATGCATCTAACCACAAAAGAAACTTGGGTCTTATTTCAGACTTCTAAGAGAAAAAGAAGTGTTACAGTCACAAAGCACCACAGACTTGGGGGCTTAAACAACAGACATTTATTTTCTCACAGTTCTGGAGACTAGAAGTTTGAGATCAAGGCATCTGCAAGGTTGATTTCTTGTGAGGCCTCTGTCCTTGGCTTGTAAGTGGCCTCTCCCTGTGTCCTCACATGCTCTCCTCACATGTGTGTCCATGTCCTATTCTCCTCTTCCTATCAGGACATCAGTCATATCAGATTAGGGCCCCTCAATGACCTCATTTAGCCTTACCTGCTTCTCTAAAGGCCTTACCTCCAAATACAGTCACATTCCTGGGTACTGGCGGGGGGGGTAGGACTTCAACCTATGAATTTTAGGGAGACACATTCAACCCACAGCAGTTTCTTTAGCAGCCTAAACTCGAAATGTATGGTCCTTGGGTCTATGATCATTCTAGTATTTTTTGAACTTGAGAGAGGAAGTCAGCATTGGCTCATACTGCTTCGCTCGCCCGATTATGCCATTGGCTAATACCACTTAAGTAAATGCGGCTTCATGTTTTGGGTCTGTTCTGGCTTCATTGATTTTCATTATTTTCTGTTAGATTCCCTCCATTGCTTGATTTCCTTCACAAGTCCGTTAATCATCCATTGTCCATCCATAAACCATGTTTCTTTAAAGGACCAGGGCCCCATGAGATTCTATCGATTTTAACCTGTGGATCACCAGGAAAAGAGGGAGAGAATTCCTGTAAATCTCAAATTGTGAAAACAAGGAAGAGCGTGTTACCTAATTCAAATCAGAACTTTCCTTTGCCAGCCAACATATAGGAAAAAAAGAAGCCCAGGTGGTCTGGTCTAACATGTGTATCAAGCCTGAGGTCCATGGTAGGCAGAGTCAGAAGGATTTTTTAAATCCTTCCAGGTCTATAGCTGGTAGAAGATGCTTGTTCTAAGATCAATTAGTGAGCACCCAGACCACCACTGAATTGCTTTTTCTATGTACTGAATTATATTTTCTTGGATGAAGTAGTCCTTAGCTCTTGAAAACAACACAAAGTGATTCTGATAATCTGGTCACACTCCTCTGCTCATTCCCTCGTCTTTTTCCTTTGAAAACCTAAATGGGTGTTCAGATTGAAACCAGCTAGCAAATCTCTCAAATTCTGTTGCTTAACCTGACACAGTTAGATGCTTTCCATATTATTTATTTCCTTCTTTGGACTTGACATCTAAAATTCAAATAGTTTCTATCAGAATAATCATCTAAGAGAAAATTTCCATTGGCACAAAGTATAAAGATTTATACTCTGTGCATGAAAGAATTATCTAGAAAATCCAAGTCTGTGTGTTTTTTGTTTCTTTTTATTGGCTTATTCCGTTGGAATTTCTATAGGCATGTCATTGCCTCTGGAAGTCTTCCTTGGCTAGAAGGAATACAGTAACACAATACAAAAGTAAATAGGAATACAATATTAACACATTTTCTCTTAGCTCTGCCTCTCCCTCTGTTATGCTGTATCAAACTGTGCCTCTAGGGCTTAAACTGTGCCTCTTACCACTCTCATCAAAGACACATTGCATACGCCCTTTAGACACTTTTGACATTACTTTGGCCAGAAACTTTTTGCACCTGCTTGAGACTTGAGATATTTGTCAGCTTTCAGTGTCCTTCCTGAATTTGGTCCTTATATGCTTCATGGTTTGTAAAAAGGATGGGGGACTTTTTGTTTGCTTGTTTGTTTGATGACATTTGATACTTCCCTCTGTTTCACTATTTTTGTTGTTTTCTCTGTGTTTTGAAAAAGGGACAAGAAGTAATTATACCTTTAATTTCACCCCTCCCTTTTAACCCAGAAGTCACAACATCACATTTCATTGCATATGTATGCACCTTCCCTACCTGATGAGCTTCGCAGAAGAATTTAAAGAATAATGAATCAATCAGATGAGCAGCTTCACTTATTTCTTTAACTCTTATTTTTGGCGTACCCATTGATATTTTATAGTCAATATTTACATTTTTCATAATCTTCCCTGTTATTATGAGTCACTTTCCCTTTTACAACCACTTGCCTTTTAAAAACCAACTTTCTTTTTCATTTAAAATTCAGGTAGCCAACATACATTACATCATTAGTTTCAGGTGTAGAGTTCAATAATTCATTCATTGTGTATAACACCCAGTGCTCATTTCATCATGTGCCCTCCCTAATGCCAATCACCCAGTTTCCCCATCCCCCCTACCCACCTCCCCTCGAGCAGCCCTCAGTTTGTTTCCCAGAATCAAGAGTCTCTCATGGTTTGTCTCCCTCTCTGATGACTTCCCATTTAGTTTTCCCTCCCTTCCCCTATGATCCTCTGCGCTGTTTCTTATATTCCACATGTGAGCGAAACCCATGATAATTGTCCTTCTCTGACTGACTTATTTCACTCAGTGTAATACTCTCCAGTTCCATCCACATCGATGTAAATGGTAAGATTTCATCCTCTCTGATGGCTGAGTAATAGTCCGTTGTATATTTATACCACATCTTTATCCATTCATCTGTCGATGGACATCTGGGCTCTTTCCATAATTTGGCTATTGTGGACATTGCTGCTATGAACATTGGGGTGCAGGTGCCCCTTCGGATCACTACATCTGTATCTTTGTAAATACCCAGTAGTGCGATTGCTGGGTTGTACTTTCTGAAGTCCCTCTCTTAAATTGCTCTCTCTCTCTCTCTCTGTGTCTCTCTGTCTCTATTTCTCTTTGGTATTGGGAAGAATCTGGACAATATTCCCCAGAAATCTTATGTTTTCCACTGTTTCTTACTGTCATTTGACTTTTTGCATCTATTTCCCCAGTTTCTCAAGCTAATAAACAGAAATTTATTCTGAGGCAAAAAACTGATACATGGCTTCTTTCCAGCCAGACTCCATTCATTTTATAGCAAAATCATATTTACAAAGGACACAAATGTGTCTCTTTATAAACATTTTAACACAAACTGTTTCTTTATTAAAACATAATTTTATGATTTTTCACCTTTCTTTCCCCAAGTTAATTTCCTATCTTTCCTTTCTGGTGTGCCCTTGTCTTTGCTGTGACTTCTGAGGTTCTCCCCTGCCCCTCCTGTGCCTCCCCTGTACCCCCAGTTGCTCACCAGGGTCTGGAATTTCAGTGTGGTTTTATCACTGAAGTTTTTCTTCCTTGTTAAAATGCAATCCCTTTCTGGAGTAGAGCCACTTGGAATCACATGAAGAGGTGTCATCTTTACTGTTCCTGTGGCTCCTGGCCTGGGACATTTCGTCTGAAGGATGGGAGTAACATCAATGCCTCGGACCTGATTTGATGGGCATGTCCTTATACCTGTAGGCATCTGTGGTGTAAGAATGCTTATCATGTGTGCAAACGATTAATTATGATATTTGTAATTAAACACCTTTTACCATGTTGGTTGACACAGTAGAAATCTGAAAGGACAAAACACCCGAGCACTCGCCTTGTGCCCTGAGAGCCTTGGGCATGGCTGGAGCTTCCTAAGGAGCAGGGTGCACAGCCCCCACTTAGAACCTGCCTGTGGCCCCCAGAGGCCTCCAGGCTCTGACTGCCAGTGATTGCCGGCCTCGCAGCTTACCTCCCCCTCACCCCACTTTCTCCTGTCTTCCTTTGCGCCTCACCTTTTGTTTGTCAGCCCGAAGTTTGCAGGGAAAGTAATGTTATTTTTGCTTCCCAGTGCAGGGCAGAAAGGCAGGGGGCATAATAAGGGGGCAGAGTAGCACCTCTGCCCAAATTTTCCTGAAGAGACCTCTGAGCCCCAAGCTTTGCCTGGCGCACCCATTATCTCTCTCTCTCTCTCTCCTCAGCTGCAACTGTGGCAGCAAGAAAGACATGGGTAGGTTATCTAGGATTTGTATTGTCTCCACTAATGCTTCCTCTGATAACAAGGTTAATTGAGAGTTGACAGTAATTGCTTTCTGTGGGCATGAAGCACTAAATATGCTTTTTGTGACCCATGGACCTAATGCATCTACTTCATGGACTCTATCTCTAGGATATATAAAAATAATAAAGCATTCCAATCAAAGATAATTGGAGTAAAGTTTTGTTTGAGCATAACCTTGAAGAAATCAGGCAGGGTTGCTTGAGTGAACATAGCATGTATCTTCCTGATTTGTGTAGATTTCCATAAATGCAAAGCTGGCCTTGATTAGTAACGCTAATGGCCGGAAACCACCACCACTCCCAAAGCCTTGCAACTCATTTTGCAGGGATAACCCATGGGAGGCTCTTCTTACCATATGCAGTTTATTTCTGAACCCTGTCACCCTTTTAAAGAAGCATTACAAATAACTCTATGACATTATGTGGTCTGGGAGCATTGACGTTTATGAGGAGCAATCAAACCAAGAATGTCTTTTGTCTCCTGTGAGTTTGTTGACTTTTGTGTTAGCAGATACCCTTCTAGTTAAGAGAATCAGCTAAGACTTGCAACCAACCAAGCAAACAAACAAAAAGAGAAGGAAAAAGAAGAAGAGTAACAAAAAAAATGAGAACGATGAGTATGAAAGTGCTTCTCTCAGAAATTCTAAATATGTCTCCAACTGCTATCCAAAGCAGCCCCTTTAATGACAAAGAGCTCTCATACTTTCTCCATTAACTCAAGTGTATGTATCCCGTTCATTTGCAGCTTCTCAGCTTACGCGAGACATGTCATCAAATCTCACCACCTCCCCCGTACATCTTTGTCCCTGGTGTCACTTGGGTTGTTCTAGACCAGAAGCTGGGCTATTGCTAAACTAACCTTGACTGATGGGTGAAGATGAGATGTCCCTCTCGGTGGAGAGGGGGAGTGGGTCCGAGAAGGACCTTTAGATTTGGATTGTTTAACCACGGATGGGCATCCAGGGTATCCCAAGCAAACCAGCATGTGCCAAGATAAGTTTTTCTGGAATTTGGGCTTTTATAT